TGAAAACCCTGGATGTTGTACCAAACATTGTAAAAACTACAGAGCCTATCTTTGAAATTCTTTGAAGTTTTTCTTTTTAAATATTTGACTTTTTAACCCATAATTTTGACTTTGGACCATTTTTCATTATGTTTGTTTTTTTCTTTTACTGGTGGAAATGCGCTTTGGTTAAATGTACATGGGTAGCTGAGGATATGTGGCTCAATAGAGCTGTGACTCTCTGTCAGCCTGGCTACAGTGCTGAAGAGGAACCTAGGGTTATTCTTATTTTCTTCTATTAGTGCTGAGTAATAGGCTCCTCTGGCATTACGGAGGGCCTTTCTATAAGTTTTAAGATTATCTTGCCAAATTGAGCGATATTCTGATAATTTGGAAGAGTGCCACTTCCTTTCAGATTTCCGAGCTTTTTGCTTTAACTGGCGGGTTTGGTGGTTGTACCATGGTGCTAGTCTCCTATGTTTTAATAATTTCCTTTTTATAGGAGCAATAGAATCTAGTGTTGTTTGCAGTGAGCCTGCAGCACTATTAACAAGATTATCAAGTTGGGAGGGACTAAGGTTATGATAGGACTCTGTTAAATTCAGACATGGCATTGAATTAAACACTGAAGGAATCTCCTCCTTAAATTTAGCTACAGCACTGTCAGATAGACATCTGCTGTAGGAAGTTTTACCTAATGGCTTATAATCTAATAGTATGAATTCAAAAGTTATTAAATAATGGTCAGATAGAAAAGGATTATGTGGGAAGATTATTAAATGTTCAATATCAATGCCATATGATAAAACAAGGTCAAGAGTGTGATTAAAACAATGAGTTGGTTTATTTACACTCTGACAGAAGCCAATTGAGTCTATTAATGATATAAATGCATTACTAAGGCTGTCATTGTTAACATCCACATGAATATTAAATCACCTACAATAATTACTTTATCTGATTTAAGGACTAAGCTTGATAGAAACTCTGAAAATTCAGATATAAAATCAGAGTACGGTCCAGGAGCGCGGTACACTATAACAAATAGAACTGGCTGCAGTGTTTTCCAGTTTGGGTGAGAAAGGCTAAGAACAAGGCTTTCAAATGAATTATAATTTAGTTTAGGTTTAGGGTCCATTAAAACGCTTGAATCATATATGGCTGCCACTCCACCTCCTCGGCCTGTGCCTCGAGGAATGTGAGTATTAATATGACTGGGGGGGTGGATTCATTTAGGCTAACATACTCCTCGTGGGACAACCAGGTCTCAGTAAGACAAAGTAAATCAATATCATAATCTGATATTAATTCATTCACTAAAACAGCTTTAGAGGACAGAGACCTGATATTTAACAGCCCACATTTCATTCTCTTATTTTGTGCTACTGAGGAGTTAGTTTTAATTTTTATTAGATTTTTATGTTGAACTCCTCTTGTTTTTATTTCTTTAAATAATTTAGGTGGTCGGGGGACAGACACAGTCTCTATGGGGTTTTGGGTGGGTGACTGTTCTAAAGAAAGAGCAGAGAAGTGTGTAAGACAGCAGCTCTGCTTCCTGGTCCCAACTCTGGACTGTCAGGTTTTAGAAATAAACTTCGCCATATTCCTAGATAAGAGAGCCGCTCCATCCAAAGTGGGATGGATGCCGTCTCTCCTAATCAGACCAGGTTTTCCCCAAAAAGGCTTCCAGTTATCAATGAAGCCCACATCGTTTTCTGGACACCACCTCGACAGCCAGCGGTGGAATGACGACATGCGGCTATACATGTCATCACTGGTCACATTGGGCAGGGGTCCAGAGAAAACTACGGAGTCCGACATAGTTTTAGCATAATTACACACCGGACTCCACATACAATTATGTATCCTGTAGTCCTTTTTGACAGCCGAAATTTTGAGTTGTTACAGTAGTAAAAGCATGTGTAGCTGGTACCATTAACAATGACTGTGATCTATTAAAATGTCCCAATAGGCCATGACAGCATGACAGTGAGCCAGCATGAACAATACCAGGACCCTGAAACTGAAGCAGCTAAATGGGATTCAGCAATCATTAATGTTATTATTTACACCTATGCTTTTGCTGCTTTAATAAAGGCTTATTGCAGGAAATCTTTCAAATGGGTTTTTGAGATATGCATGACTCCTGCACTAGCTCTCCCCAGGGTATTCGTACTTTAAATTCCTGATTCAACAAGGATGTTCTTACTGACACCACTAGATGGCAGCAGTGTGTTTCATTAAATAAAAACATTGCTTTTTCTGTCAATTTCACTTCACTGAGGAAATTCCTTTTGCCCAGAGAAACCCATGCACATGAAGAATAGTTAAAGTTAAATTATTAGCAGTTACTCTGAAATGAGACCACATTCCACATTTCACACACACACACACACACACACACACACACACACACACACACACACACACACTTTCAGTTTAAAATGTAGTGGTAATTACAGTTATTTTAGAGTGTGTAAAAAAATGTACAAATGTGGTGTAAATACACAGACGTTTGGTGGTGGTTGAGTCTGAGTGAGAAAACAGTTAATGAAATTTGAAAAGTTTAGTTGTTGAATTTTGTGTCAAAGCAAAGAAAAGTGATCCTCAGTTTAGTCCACACTGACTGCTGCTGACTGTGTGAACAGTTTTAAAAAAGTGAACTCTAATGTGTAAAAACCTGTAATAACTGATGTTACATTTAAAGATAACAGTGGTGAGGAGAATGATAAGTATTATGATGATCAAAGCTCCCATAGCTATAGCCTGCATTTCAATTTTCTACATTTGTGGTTCCTATAGTCTCTAAAAGTAGAACAGGAGCCAGAGCCTTCAGTTACCAAGCTCCTCTCCTGTGGAACCAGCTTCCAGTTGTGGTTCGGGAGGCAGACACCCTCTCCACATTCAAGAGTAGGCTTAAGACAGTCCTCTTTGATAAAGCTTATAGTTAGGGCTGGATCAGGTGAGTCCTGAACCATCCCTTAGTTATGCTGCTATAGGCCTAGACTATCGGGGGATTTCCCATGGTGCACTGAGCTCCTCCCTTCCTCTCTCTCTCTTTCTGCACTCATTCATGTTCCATTAATGCATGTTACTAACTTCACTTCTTCCCCGGAGTTCTTGTGCTTTCTCGTCTCACAGGTTCTCATGGATCCTGGTGGAGCCTCCTGCCATGGTCCTGCTTGACTGCCATTGACTCCCATTGCTAATATCATTGATATTATTGTTATTATTATTATTAATATTATTATTATTATTACTACAGTTACTATTGTCGCTGCTTGTTGTCCCCCATTGTTGCTGTTGTCGTCGTCATCATCTACTATTAGTGTAGTTGTTGCTACTGTTGTTGTTGTGCAACTGTCTATCTCTCTCTCTCTCTCTCTCTCTCTCTCTCTCTCTCTCTCTCTCTCACCCCAACTGGTGGAGACAGACGACCACCCACCTAGAGCCGAAGGATCTGTCCTAGGTTTCTGCCTTTTAACAGGCAGTTTTTCCTTGCCCTTGTCTCCAAGGTCTTGCTCATGGTGGTACTGTTGGGTCTCTGTAAATAATGTTATAAGGAGTTCGGTCTAGACCTGCTCTATTTGAAAAGTGTCCTGAGATAACTTCTGTTATGAATTGGCGCTATACAAATAAAATTGAATTGAATTGAAAATTGAACATATTGTTGATTAACTCAACTAATTTGAAAACATAGAAATTACAATTGAAATTAAAACAAATACATATCAAAATACACAGTATGTAACACCTGAATACCTGAATAATGTTACAATTGAGAGTGCATGAAAACTTGGAGAGAAGTCTAAATAGTTAGCTAAAAGTGTGTCACAAGTTGTACAAAAGTTACACAAACCACAACTCTGACTGTATGAAAAAGAAATTATAATAATAACCACTTTTATATTGTCAATAGTGTTAAATAACAGCCACCTTTAAAAGTTTGGTACTTTACTGAACAGTAGACTGCAGTTATTTTTGTTCAGATTTTGTTAGATAGCCTACAAAGGGTGGTTAATTATGGAAGCCCATTTCCACCAAAGTAACGGAGGTAAGTAAAGTAAGTTATTATAATGAGAAACCTTCTTTCAAAATGGAGTTAGCATCTCAAAATAATGACTGTGATACTAAGTCCTTATTTTAGTGAGAATATTGAGATACTAACTCAATGTTTGTCATTAGAAAGACTTAAATAATCTTTTATCTGTAACATTGGCGGAAATGGGCTTCCATCTTACTGTCAGTGACTTCCATAGACCTACTTAATGCTATATTCGGCCATTAGTCGTCAATATATTTGGCGCCTTTGAAGTCTCCGTTTCTCTACGGCGCTGTTTCCTCCGCACGCGCAGCTGTCAGCCAATGGGGTTTGAGAAGTGGCGACATCTCTCCGATTCAGGAAACCCTCTCCTCCTCCGCATACTCAATAAATTAGACAAGACCACGCAACTCCGGCTTCCGGCTTGTACTTTCAAAATAAAACCACGACTGTCCAATGTCTCACAACCTTTAATATAAAATGACTCTGTAAACTCTTCTGCAGCGAAATAAAGAACACATTGTATACAGATCCTAAATTAGTTTAATAATAAGCTCAGTTAAGCTAACAAATTAACAAATTAATAAATTAACTAATTTAACAAAGTTAACGTGGATTTATGCAAATGCCATCAGGAGCACTAGGAGGAACCAGAGGAACCTGATTGTTTCACACATTATCAGGATATAGTGAAAGTTTCAGCAAATATGACAACAAGTTCTTGTTCCTCTTTGAGCTATATCTATGCATGAAATGCCAAGAAATCACCGTCTATTTTGATGTTTCTATATAGAGTTTTACATAAATCCCACAAATTTCTTTTTTTTCCTCATGTATTTTGATAACACATTGTATCATATTACGTGTATATATTCTCCACAAGTGCATTAATAGTCTTTGTAAAAATAAAAAAAACTTTATTTTTTTGGCCAATAAAACAATTTCCGCTTTCGTCAGCCGTTGCTGCTGTGAGCTTGACTCACGCAAACAGGTCCTACTGCGATCTGGAGCGGTAGTGACTGATGAGCGCGGTGCTGTGGGGTCGCCTGGCTCTTTCTTTAACGTACGTTTGCCCACTTTTATCCACTGCTTTACGGAACATTTCCTCCAGAGGTGAAGCGTTACACGGCTGTCGAAGATGTCTGTGGCCGGGCTGAAGAAACAGTTCCACAAAGCCAGTCAGGTATGGAGTCGCTCGTTCATAACAATTGTTTGGCTGTGGACAGTGATTGAAGCTAACGGTACACGGAATCAGCCTTCAGCTCGTTAGAGAGCTTGAAAAGTAGCCAACTTTAATTTCTTCCATTAACCAGTGGTGGACTGTGGCGCCAATTCTGACGCTGTTTCTGAGCATTTTCCGCTATTTGTGTAGCGTTACTTTCTCATCCAGATAAGTTCGTTAACGTCACACCAAACTCCGTTGAAGAATCCGAAAATTAAATGTATTCTGGCATAATGGCAAACACACACTCGTCGTTTCACTTGATTTTAGAGCGTTTACGAAACACTGGAATCCAGTGTCTATTTCGGCATTGGTATTAATGTATAAGTTATTATCTTAGGAGTACACCGCTTTAATAACATTTCACATGTTGACGTTAGACCTTGTTCCCAAACCAAATACCAGGGAGAAACTGGTAATATCATGTCAGTAAAAGCTGTAAGAAAAGTAAAAATACTAATAAAAATCTTTGTTTATTGAATATATAAAATATCCTAATATTTTTACCTAGCTACATTGTGTAACTTATTGTCTGTCGTTTTGTGGTAAGCTTAGTTTTCCTATAAAACGGTGGTACTACAGTAGCTATGTATTTAACTGGTGAGCATGGCTGATTGTGTTCTGTGCAGATGTCACAGCATATGTCTCAAAAGTAGCTGTCTACTGCAGACTGACATTGTGTTTTCAATTCAGTTCAATTCAGTTTTATTTGTATAGCGCCAATTCATAACAGAAGTTATCTCAGGACACTTTTCAAATAGAGCAGGTCTAGACCGAACTCTTTATAACATTATTTACAGAGACCCAACAGTACCACCATGAGCAAGCACAGCGGCAAGGAAAAACTTCCTTTAAAGAGGCAGAAACCTCGGACAGACCCTGGCTCTAGGTGAGTGGTCTTCTGTCTCGATCAGTTGGGGCGAGAGAGAGAGAGAGACAGACAGACAGACAGAGGTGCACAGCAACAACAGTAGCAACAACTACACTAATAGTATTGACTGATGATGATGATGATGAACATGAAGATGATGGTGATGACGACGACGACAACAACAACAACAATGGGGGACAATGAGCAGTGACAATAGTAATAATAGTAACTGTAGTTATAATAATAATAATAATAATAATAATAATAATAATAACAATAATAACAATAATATCAGTGATATTAGCAATGACAGTCAAGCAGGACCATGGCAGGAGGCTCCACCAGGATCCATGAGAACCTGCGTGACGAGAAAGCACAAGAACTCCGGGGAAGAAGTGACGTTAGTAACATGCATTAATGGGACATGAATGAGTGCAGAAAGAGAGAGAGAGGAAGTGAAGAGCTGAGTTTTAAACTTGCCTGCAACAAACATTTAAAGACAGGCAGAATGACATGGAGACATCAGATACATTGACCCAACTGGCCTTTTTACAACACACAGAAGTTGTACAATCTGGGCATGCACCCACTGCTCTTTACTCATCAAATTCCATTTAGAATTGGCCTGTTAGTCCCACAGCCTCCTGCTACCATACTACACCATGGTGGGTGGCTGTGAGTAACTGTGAACCAGTTCTGACATTTCGATAACGTGTCTTTGGAGGCGAATGCTGCCTGGTGGATCATCTGTTTGTTGCAATGAGCAGTGGTAAATTGACTTTTGTGGTCTACCAACCACTCAAAGTGCTTTACAACACTTTTATCACATTCATACACTGATGGCAGAGGCTGCCATGCAATGTGCCAACCTGCTCATCAAGAGGGATAATGGATGTATAAAGAGAAGTGGATACAGTGTTGGAGATGGCGCCCCGTTAATTCCTATAAATACTGCTAAGTGGCGCATCAAGCCAAAAAAGCCACTTCCTGCTGCAATGAAATTACCCGGATGAATTCATACTGCACTAGACACCTCTGGTTTAGCCCTCCGTTAACTTCAATGAGAATAAATAATTTAATCTTGTGAATCTTCTAGACTTTAAAAATGTTATTGGACTGAATGGATAAACTTCTGAATCATTTCATGGGAGTCGTGATGCTCAAAAAAAAATTTCCGCCGACTTACAGCGGATTCTTTCACAATGTAATCTTATGGAGGAAAGTCTTTTTGGGCAAGTGTGCATCATGTGACAGACACCATTGCTGTAATTACACGGTCTGACCCTGATCCGTTAATTGTTGTGTCTTTTTTTTCTGGAGCCGCGAGCAGAATTCTCTCCAAAGCCCACTGGAAAAATGTCTTGTTGTAGTTAAAAGTTACACGCACAGCAATGTCAACTGTACGTGAAACACATTTTCTACTTCTTCTTTTATATTCTTCTTAATTTGAAGTGTTACTTACGGCCTGTGGCCAAAGTCATGTTATTGAAAACTGGAAAAAAAACCTGGAAAAATCAGCAAATTAAGTGAATTAAGAGTGTCTCATGAATGCTGACCTGTAATGAACCTGGAACACTTCATCATTAACCCCGCAGTATTAAGAGCTGTCAATACGGCCTAGCGATAAATGATATGACAGTTTGTGAGCAAGTGCTGTCCTTTCTTGTCAAGAGAACTCCTGGATAGTGATTTCTTAAAAAGAGTGGGAACCCTGTTGGAGCTATTTGGGTTCAGTGTCTTGCGCAGGGACAGTGGGACTGGACAGAGGGAGCCAGGTTGGCTCTTAATGATTCAGAAACGTCTTAATCTTTCTCTGAACCTTTTAAGAACCTTAACCGGATACCTCAGTAAGGCAACACCATTTGGTTAGAACGGAGTTTGGCATGAGGTTTTCCTCACAGGATTGTTGTCCATCTGTTAGGTGTTCCTTTACCATACACACAGCCTGCTGATGTAGTTAGACATAGAGGGGCTCTGCTACTTGATAGAGGGTGTTGGGTTTCAGGTTAGGATGGGGATGTTTTTGTTGTATAGAGCTTCAAGCTTGGGCTGAGTTTTCGTCATTGACTGTGCCAATAAGATATTCGTATGTCCCAAGTAGACAAAGTGCTCAGTGGGAATAGAGAAAGACAGAGTGTAATCAATGGGTTGCAGTTAGCTGGTGAATTTGGCGTTTTGTCTGGAAACCAAAACGGAGCTAAAAGAAGAGTGAATATTGGACTTCCAGTCGTTGCTAATGTTGCTCTGTGTCTCCAGGATGTGTGAATAGGCAAGTGTTGGTCCCATATTACTTGACATAAAAAAATACTCTAGTGTTATGATTTTAGCTTGTTTCTGCTGCCCGCAAATAAACAAAAAGGATTATTTCTGGTTTAAAGATGTATGGTCCAGATTTGGGTCCCACCATTTATGTACATGTATGCACAACTCTAGGACATGGCCCAGTTAATCTAAATGACCTCGTCCACTTGTGCAACAAATACAAAAATTTATATTACATCAATAGGTGCATAAATGCCAGATTACAGCAGCTGCAGGGCAGCGTAGTGGACAAGGACATGGGTTTCACTGTTAGCAGGCACAGGCCCGACTGAAGTGTTTCAGAGACGTACTCAGAATCCTGACCCATGACTCCGTGTGGGGGCAGGGAGGGAGTATTTTATTCCTATTCAAGTTACAGTGCTGAGTGTTACTGCAGGTTGAATGAACAGCATTATTTTCCTCAGAGCTGGTTGGAGTCTGGGCTGCGCAGTTAGTCGAAATATTATTGAAATTACAACGTGGCCAAGTGCAATATGCAAATCCTAGAAGCTGCAGTTGTTTAATAAAGGTAAAATGTTTGACAAACAGTGTTGTAATGGCGAAGTGTAATACTGCAGAGATGCCCTGGTCTACACATCTTGTTTGTTTGGTACAGATTCTTACAAATGTCACATGAACAGAATTTTTATTGTTTTTTTTTTCAGTTAAAAAAATTGTAATGCAAAAATGATCATTCCCACTAGTTGTGAATCCTATCGTAATCACAGTATCTGTCAATATAATTGCAATATAATTTTTTGTACCATATCGTGCAGGCCTAGTTTCACTTAAATATTTACATATGCACTTTCACTTTCTTTTCATGCCTTGTAGTTGAACAACTGGCTCAGTCACTTGGAGCAGTGTACAGGCCTGGGCCTGTCCTATTGGCTCCATAACATCATAGTTAGTCACCTAAAGATTTCAGTCCCTGTATGTGGCTGCACTGTAGACATCAAGACCGGTCATGTACAATTTCAATATACCATAAAGTATGTCGGGCATAGTTACACAGTTGTTTGTTTTAAGAATCATTTAAATAGCCCTGTCAAGCCTTAGCTTTAATTTATTTGAGGGTGACCTCTTTAGGATAATATTATAGTTATGTATTGTCACTTGCTGAATGTGACTCAACAGCAGTTTTTACCATAACTGTCTAACTAGTTGTTATCAATAACCACATTAATAACTATAAAGCCACTTTTTTTAGGGATGCACAATGAGGATTTTTTCTTATAGCCAATAAAACAACAGATGATTTCACATTTGAATTACATAATTAACAAGTGGATTACCTGTAGTTGCAGTATACACACCTGACGGTAAGAAAGGCTGAGATGTAGGGAGCAACGATGGAATGATGTACTTCCGTGGATATTCCTGTATGTCTTGCCAGACAGCAGCAGGGTGATCAGGCAGGCACTTGCTTTGTATTTCCACACAAAGTGCCAATATATACATTACATTGATATATCGGATTGTTCAACATTAATCTCAATATATCCAGATCAATGTGTCGTTACTTTGTGTATTGCGTAATTGTTTCTACTTCAGTTTTTTGTGGTCGCTGTAAAGCCACCGTCAGTGAAAGACAAAACTTCCTGCAGATACTTAAATGCAAGTGTTTGATGTTTTTTTTAATTTTTATTGTAAAAACATCTGTGCAGGAAGTGTTGAGCGTTATAGACGGAAGCTGAACAGTGATCGACTGGAAACGATTTGCAAATGAATTATTTTAGAGAAGGGAGACAGGAAGACCAATAAACAAGACAACAAGAGTGACATGACT